TGGTTTCACCAATTGCCCCCAGGAGCCATCAGGGACTTTGACGGATTTAGCTCGAGCTTCCTAAACCAATTCGCAAGTGTAAAAGCCCAAGAAAAGTCTTACCTTACTCTACTAGGTATGCAACAGAAAGAAGGGGAATCATTGAAGGATTATGTGGCAAGATACACACGGGCATGCGTCGACGTCCCCTCGGCCACCGAGGAAATCAAGTCAGGAGGGCTCACTCGAGGGCTGCTCCCAGGGCTATGCAGAAACTCCCTAGCAAAGCGACCCGGGAGAACGTTCGACGAGGTGTTAGGAAGATGCGCCAAATACATGAATGTGGAAGAAGCTGAAGCGGACTTTCTGCAAGCGGCCAAGTAAAAAACTGAGTCTCGGGACGAGAAGAAGGATAAAAAGCGGTCGCGACGACTGAAAGAAAGGGATCCCCGAGGTCTGAAAGAGAAGGACGATCAAGGGGATGGAGAACAACCCAATATATTCCTCTGTTAGCTTCGAATGCAAGGATACTGGAGGTTATGGAGACAGAGATCCGTGACAATGTTGTCAGGTGGCCACGGACGAGATGGGCCAACAAAGCCTAAAAGCGATCTGTATTGTCGATTTCACAAAGACTACGACCATAATACAGATGAATGTCGGCACCTAAAAAACGAGATTGAGAGACTAATCAAAGCAGACCATCTGAAGGAATTCGTTTATAAAGATCGAGAACGAACCAGTCGGCGAAGGGAGAGAAGCAAAAGCCCTCGCAAGAGGGCAAGAACACCCGATAAGGAGGAGCTTCCCCAGAAAAGAGGAATAAATGATATTCGGAGGGCCAACCGATGGTGTTTCAAATCGGGCTAGAAAAGCATATGCTCGAGGGCATCACGGAAAAGCTGAAGTGCAACAGGTCGAGGAAGATGGTCCAGTGATGAATTTCAGACCAGCAGATATGGGAGCAGTCGAGAGACCTCACAAAGATGCCTTGATGATCACAGCTCAGATATCGGGCTATGAAGTCCAGAGAATCTTTGTCGACACAGGGAGCTCGGTGAATGTGATTTTTTTCGATTGTCTTAAACAGATGGAACTCGACATTGAACTCTCACCTCTCCACACCTCACTTTTTTGATTTAATGGCTCGGAAGTCGCACCCCTAGGGGAAACCACTCTCGCTGTCGTCCTGGAGGAAGGCGACTTAAGGAAGGTGAAGATGGTGCGATTTGTCGTGGTCGACGTCGAGTCGGCTTATAATGTAATTCTGGGAAGGCCAGCACTCAACACATTCCAAGCAGTAGTGTCAACCTATCATATGAAGCAAAAGTTCCCCGTCGGGGATAAAGTAGGGGAAGACCGAGGGGACCAGAGGCTATCAAGAACTTGTTATCAGATTGCAGTAAGGACAAACCAACGAACGGAGGTGAAAGAAGGAAAAAAGTCGGTGTCGAATGAAAAAAGACGAAGGGAGAGTGATCTCGAGCCACATGGGGAATTAATGGAAATTCAAATCGGGGAGAAAGAGGAGCAGACTACGAAAATAGGGCGAGAATTGGAAGAAGAGTTACGCCGACAGTTGGTGGGACTGTTGAAAGAATTCAGGGACATATTCGCTTTTTCCCCTGAAGAGCTAACAGGAACCGATCCCAATGTCATGGAGCACAAGCTTAATGTCGACCCCCTGAAAA